ATAGAATAGAATAGAATAGAATAGAATAGAATAGAATAGAATAGAATGGAAAATATGGAATGGAATATAGGATAGGATAGGATAGGATATATAATAGTAGAATAGAAATAGAATAGAAATAGAATAGAATAGAAATAGAATAGAATAGAATAGAATAGGAATAGAATAGCTGGAATGGAATGGAATGGAATGGAATGGAATGGAGTAGAATAGAATAGAATAGAATAGAATAGAATAGAATAGAATAGAATAGAATAGAATAGAATAGAATAGAATAGAATAGAATAGAATAGAAAATATGGAATGGAATATAGGATAGGATAGGATAGAATAGAATAAAATATATAATAGTAGAATAGAATTAGAATAGAATAGAATAGAATAGAATAAATAAAATAGAATTAGAATAAAATAGAATAAAATAGAATGGAATGGAATGGATATTGGAATATAGAACAGAATAGAATAGAATGGAATAGAATGACATATGAATAGAATAGAATAGAACATAGAACAACAGAACAGAATAGAATTATGTGATGGAATAGAACAGAACAGAACAGAATAGAATAGAGCTGGAAGGGACCTTGGAGGTCTTCTAGTCCAGCTCTATTCTATTCTAGTTCTTGATCTCTTTGGCCCCACCCCAGTGCCCCCCCCAGTCCACCTGGAGCCAATTCGCTGGTGTGAAGATGTCGTGAGCTGAAAAGGTGATCACCGCTTCCTAGTGCTTTACAGCCCTCTCTTAAGTGGTTTAGAAAATCAGCATCTTGCCCGCCAACAGTCTGGGTCCTCATTTTACCGACCTCGGAAGGATGGAAGGCTGAGTCAACCTTGAGCCTCGTTAGGATCGAACTCCAGATTGTGGGCAGAGTTTGTCTGCAATGCTGCGCCACCAGGGCTCTGGTTGAAACCTCTGACTGAACTTCTGGTGACAATTGCGATTGCAAATGGATGGCCGAAAGGGCCGTGGGTGAAATGCCCCTTTCTCTTCTCTCTTCTCCAGCAATCTCCACTGCTCAACCTCCTGGGCCAGGCCAGCTCCCTTCCCTGGCAGCATGTCAACATGGCCTCCTATCAGAGCATCCTCGGTTACTTCAATAGCCACTACTCCCCCTCCATCCTTCTGGCCAAGGAACCAGCGGCTGAACTGGTGGTGAAGCTCTTGAAAGTGTCGGCCGGCTTCAGCACCTCTTTGGACAGCAGCCAGCACCCTGTAAGCCCTCCTCCCTCCCTCCCTTTTTTCCTTCCTTCCTTCCTTCCTTCCTTCCTTCCTTCCTTCCTTCCTTCCTTCCTTCCTTCCTTCCTTCTCTTCCACTCCACAAAGCCCACTCCCTTCTAGCACTGATGATGTTACCTAGTTTTGGTAATGAAACGTCTGCAAGAAAAGAGAGCACCAAGGACCCTTCATTTCAACCCTGGGCAACAAATAGTCTCTTCT